CAAATCTATGAAAGGAATCCTGCTTGATTAGGAGAAAATAAAATTGGAGCGGATTAACTATTAAACACAATTATATCAAGCAGGAACTATTAGGAATGTTCACTCACCGGGGTGTTGCTTCTATGCGGCTTGGGCACTATATTGCTGCGACTTCTGAAAGACACTCTGGGTAGACTCTCGAGAGAGAGGCGGCGCGCGACTATATCTCACACGAGGTGAGGCGGGTTTCCTGGAGCTCGACTGCTTCAGGCTAAGCGGTTATATTAGTGGTGCGCGTGGGCAAGAGCTCTTTAGGACACTATTATCCTAGGCGGTGTGGTTCCAACGACGAGCGCGGTGGGAAGAGAGCCTGTGTCGGCCGCGCGTGCCTTTTTATTCCTTCGGTTGCGATGATTGCGTAATATTCTAGAATCATCTTCTTTCCCCTCCCACCCCACCACCCCGATGTGTCGATAGGAGGGTATGAATGATATCGTTTGGAAAGGGATAAACGATTTGGCAAGCCTACCGTCAAATAAATAAATACGAATGGTTTTCCGCGCAACCACAGGAGCTTTTCCATTTTTTAGTTACCCGAGGGCCAACTCGATCTCCTCTAGACAGAAACAAGTACAAGTACAAGACAGTAACAAGACAGAAATAAGTAGCGAGTTAGTGTGGCTCTGGGATTGTCGTATTCGAGGTCAGATTGCTGATTCTGGGAGGCGTATAGTGTACCGTAGCAACCTTCGATCTCAACGAGAATTTCAGGCTTCGATGTGAGGGTTTTGCCATCACATGTCGTCAGTTTTGTAATGTGGCTCCTCCCAAGTTTCCGAGCAAAGACTTTAGGAACATTGTTTCGCTCTATTGCCTCTTGTATAAGGGTTGCATTAGAGCGCCACAGGTCTCGCCGTACAGCTTTCCTTACTGCCGTTGTTGCCTTACGTCGCTTTTGCATAAGCTGAAGCATTTCGTCTGAGAGCTTAGACTTCCGGCCTATATGTTGCCTACTGCACAACCTATTCCTCTCATCCCTTAAGATCTTAACCACACTAGTGAGATCCTCGTCAATGTCCAATGTGGGTTTTAGGGCACCGAATCGATTACGAAGTTACAACTGGAAACGTTGGGATCTCGCTATGGTTTGAAAGACATTTGGTCGGAGCGTACACTTCATGAGACGGGCTGTTTCAATCTTGAAGTCGATAAACAGAGTGCCTCAAACAAGTCGGTGATCGCTTCCGGTATTAAACCTATTGATCACTGAGACATCTCTGAACATGTACTTTTTGTCCGTCATGATGAAGTCAATCTTATTTTTCGTCACGTTATCGGGGCTGCGCCAGGTCCACTTCCTTTGGGGATTTTTTTGAAAATAGGAGTTCATAAGATGAAGCCTCTCCTTTTCGAGGAAGTTGATCAGCATTTGCCCCCTGTAGTTTCTGCTTCCAAATCCGTGCGGTCCCATAATCGATTCAACACCTGTATGTTTCCCTACTTTGGCGTTAAGGTCTCCCATGACGACATTAAAGTCGCTATTAAATATATATATATATAGGCCCAAATCCCCCCCTCATCAACATGGTAGCGTAATGAAATGATAGACTACCCCAGGAGGGTACCAGCACCCCTGGAGAATCCCTCGCTGAGCATCCACGACCATGTTTCTCCACTTCTGAGCGTGGGTGCTCAGGCTGCCCCGCGTATTCTGGGGGGGGGGGGCAATATTCCGATCAAGACTAAAACTGCTCGGGGCAAACGGAGCAACAAGACCAAGGCGACCCCTGCCACGCTGTCCGTGAATTTCTGCAATATCAGGGGACTTCACTCTAACCTAAACGCCGTCCACTACCATCTCGAGACGGCGAGGCCGGCTCTGCTCTTTCTGACCGAGACGCAGGTCTCCTCTCCGGCTGATGTCTCGTATCTCTCCTGCCCGGGGTACAAACTGGAACACTCCTTTGTGCCTCGGGCTGGAGTTTGCGTTTACGTCAGAGAGGATATCTGTTCTCGACGCCTCGGCAGATTTGAAGGTTCGGGCCTGTCCATCCTTTTGGCTACGCGTAGACAGCGACGACCATCCGCGCGTCTACGGGTGCCTCTATAGGTCCCATAGCGGTAATGCCGAAACAGACCGACTCTTCGACCACGTCCAAATGGCTGCAGATTCGTTGCTACAGCAGATCCCCTCCGCAGAGATCGTGATCCTCGGCGACTTTAACGCCCATCACGCCGAATGGCTCGGTTCACGTTTAACCGATCATGCGGGGAGATCTGTTCATGATTTTGCCTTGGCATATGGTCTGACACAACTGGTTACTTCGCCTACGCGGATTCCAGATGTGGAGGATCATGCACCTTCCCTGTTGGACCTTCTGCTGACCTCTCACCCGGACGGATATCAGATTTCCGTTGACGCCCCTTTAGGCTCCTCGGACCATTATCTTGTCCGGAGTGTGGTGCCACTCACGCTGAAATCGCGGTTGCATTCTGCAGGCTGCCGCCGTGTTTGGCACTATAGGTCAGCCGATTGGGATGGGATGCGGTCTTTCTTTGCATCCTACCCTTGGGGGCGGGTTTGCTTCTCGCCGGATGATCCCAACGTTGTTGCGGATTCTGTCGCTGATGTGGTACTTCAGGGTATGGAACTTTTTATTCCTTCCTCTGTGGTGCCCATTGGAGGCAAATCTCAGCCATGGTTTGGTAGCTCCTGTAAAATAGCATCATGCTATAAGCAGGAGTGCTACCAAGCCTGGGCTGACGCATCAGCGTCCAGGGATGTAAACACCAGCGCTCTAAAGAAGAAGTATAATTCCGCCTCTAGGTCCTTCAAAAGAGTCATTGCCAAGGCAAAGTCAGAGCACATAGGCAGAATTGGCGAGAGACTAGTTCGTCTTCCTTCTGGAACCCGTGCATTCTGGTCTCTCGCCAAGGCTGTCCAGGGGAATTTCTGTCAGCCATCTCTTCCATCTCTGCACAGGGAGGACTACTCACTGGCCCACACCGCAAAGGAGAAAGCCGATCTTCTAGGCTCTTTCTTTGCGTCTAACTCGACTCACGATGACGGGGGGAGTACGCCGCCGACCATCCCGCGGTGTGAGTGCTCCATGCCGGAAGTGCAGTTCACTCAGCGCTCGGTTCGCAAAGCACTCCTCTCCCTGGACATCCATAAGTCGAGTGGGCCTGATGGAATCCCCCCAATTGTGCTGAGGACGTGTGCTCCAGAGTTGGCACCGGTTTTAAAGTGTCTTTTCCGGTACTCCTACTCCCTAGGCGTAGTCCCAAAATCATGGAAGACGGCTTTCGTCCACCCGATCCCTAAAAAAAGGCGACCGCTCAGACCCGTCCAACTACCGGCCTATCGCCATCACCTCCTTGTTCTCCAAAACAATGGAGTCCATTGTAAACTGCCAGCTCATGAGGTACCTTGAGGATCACCAGCTGATTAGTGACCGCCAATACGGTTTTCGCCGTGGTAGGTCAGCTGGTGATCTTCTGGTCTACCTAACTCACAGATGGGCGGAGGCAGTAGAGTCCAAGGGGGAGGCATTGGCCGTTAGTTTGGACATTGCGAAGGCCTTCGATCGGGTTTGGCACAAAGCGCTTCTTTCGAAGCTCCCTTCCTATGGGCTTCCCGAGAAATTGTGCGATTGGATCACCAGTTTTCTTGCAGATCGGAGCATCAAGGTCGTTGTTGACGGTGCAAGCTCCGATTGCAAGCTTATTAATGCTGGTGTTCCACAGGGCTGCGTGCTATCGCCAACGCTGTTTCTTCTGCATATCAATGATATGTTGCAAACCCGTAGCATTCATTGCTATGCAGATGACAGCACTGGTGATGCTCTTTACACCGGCCGAGCCAATATTTCTCGGGAAAACGTCTCTGAATGCCGGGACAAACTTGTGTCTGAAGTCGAGTCTCTGCTGGACAGAGTCTCGGATTGGGGACGACTAAATCTAGTCCAGTTTAACCCCCAGAAGACACAAGTTTGCGCGTTAACCGCTAAAAAGAACCCCTTTGTCGTATCCCCTCAGTTTCAAGGCACTCCCCTTGTTGCCTCAGCCAGTATCGGAATCCTCGGCGTCGACATATCGAGTGACGTGCAGTTTCGTGGTCACTTGGAAGGGAAGGCCAAATTGGCCTCTAAAAAGCTTGGCGTGCTCAGCAGAGCGGGACAGTATTTCATGCCGGCACACCGCCTGCAACTTTACAAGGCGCAGGTTCGGCCGCTCATGGAATACTGTTCCCATCTCTGGGCTGGGGCTCCCCAGTACCAGCTCCTTCCACTTGACCGCATCCAGCGCAGAGCGGCTCGAATCGTTGACGACCGAGTGCTTTCCGATCGGCTCGATTCACTGGCGCTGCGAAGAGATGTTGCATCTCTTTGCGTATTTTATCGCATCTATCACGGGGAGTGCTCTGAGGAATTGTTCGGATTAATCCCAGCCGCCAAATTTCGTGAACGCACTACACGGCAAACGTCCCGATACCATCCACACCATCTGGATGCTTGTCGGTCCACCACTGTACGTTTCAAAAGGAGTTTTCTTCCGCGTACAACCTCTCTGTGGAATAATTTACCACCGGTGATTTTTCCGGACCGATACGACCTGGGGACCTTCAAGAAAAGAGCTTACTCCTTTCTAAAGGGCCGGCAACGCACCTGCAATTCCCCTGGTGTTGCGGTTGATCATGGGCGGCGGTAGTCACTTAACATCAGGTGAGCCACATGCTCGTTTGCCCCCTCTTCTAATAAATGGGCGCGGGTGTTTTGGCTTCGACGCCGGCTGCTGATGCATCGAGTTCTGGTATGGACGGCGGCTCTGTGTCATCGTTTTCTTCCTGCCTCGTGCGTTGATTTTCCCGAAAAGAAACCGAAGGGTGATATATATATATATATATATATATATATATATATATAGTTACTGCGGCGCCGGGGCACGAGGTTTGTTCGCTGCTGAAGGCTTCGACGCCGGCTGCTGATGCATCGAGTTCTGGTATGGACGGCGGCTCTGTGTCATCGTTTTCTTCTCAACTCGGTTGCCTCGGTGCGTTGAGAACCGGGGTGGCATGGACCAGTTTCCCGAATTAGAAGAACGGTTGCTAGTGGATTGAGAACCGGAAGGAGTTTCGGATTAGTCTTTTTGATTTGCACACCCTGTCGTTCAATAGCTCTGGCTGCCTAGATCTTTTCTGATAATTTGTTACCGAACAAAGTTTCGTACTACAAGGAAAAAGTTCTTATACAGGTTTGGTGTAATGAGCTTTATGCAGCTATTCGTATTTATCATATGCAAGTGCGAAAATATACGACAGGCATTGCTAAGATGTTATTACTTACTACACTTAAGAGAATATTAAGCGCTCTGTTAATGGCCCTTATTCCCGACCCGAGTTTCTGTTGGTGAACTACCAGGTCTTATCATTAATTATGTTTCATACAGAGTCTATAACTGCTGCTAATATCTCTTCGTTTAGTTAAGGCACTTGCAGCAGCCTACAGTTATCCGGCATTAGGTACTCCTTCAAAAAAAAATATTTTTTATATTTTGGCAAGCCTTTGACGAGTATAGGAAACAATAAATAATTTATTACTGTCAACGTTCCGCTAACTAATTACAATGATATGTCTTACCTACATTGAAGTGCAGCTCCCACCCTCCCTCAATTGCATGCACTAACTCCGTCACCCCTAGTCCCAGCACCACTACTCCCAACACCACCACTCCCGGCACCACTGCTTCCAACACCACTATTCCAGGCAAGACACACCATCGACAACGATACGACACGCGTTTCGCCTCTACACGAGGCATCCCCAGGTAATGTAGACTCCACGGCGACTGACCACCGAGTAGAGGAAACCACAATTTGGCTAAACTCTCGTGAATTCTCTCTCCAAACTCTGGGATACCGCTGGTGGACTCACTTAGGGCTTCTAAAAGTTCAGGGTCCAATTCTGGTTTGGCTGATTCACCGTTCGGGTTTCGTTCCGTTGAAGTTGCCTCTAAAGCCAGAGGCACTAATGGTTTCTCCGCCCTGGTCTCTGGTCTAGACTCTGGATCCGATGCGCGCTCAGGTTCTGGCGTAATCTCCGACACATTCATGGGCTCCGGCTCTACGGGATTCTACCCTGAAGCGTTCCGAGGTCCTTTGCTTAAGCTATAAGGTTTAGCTCAGGTTAATCGGCATGTTCAACACCTAAAACGAATATTATAGGATTAGAAAAGTGGATTACTTCTATGAACGAGAAGATTATTCTTTCAACAAACAAGGCTCACGTCCTGTTCTGATGCAAGTTGAAAACATGTGTAAAAAACAACACGTGTTAACGAAACGTAAAAGTTACATAATCTTGGTAAACTGTTTTAATACGAAAATGAATATGCTTACCTTCATTAGTGGAAGATTCTGGTGGTATGCCGCGTATCCGGCGAAGTCATCCAGTATCGCATTCACGTAATTTTCTAATTTTGAATTCATAACGCTCGATTTTTTCCGCACTACGTTTTGGCATCATAAATACTTTATGAAAAGGCAAGAATAACTTGAACTTATTGGCAGACGCGTGCTGTTGCAAAGGAATGAAAATCGGAAATGGCGACTCACCCGTCCCCGAGTCGGTTCAGTTTAGTCAGTTGAGTGTCTTTTCAATCCTGGTAAATAATTATATCTGAAAAATGAAGCTATAAAATATAACAAATTTCCATTGGGTACAAGTTGGGTTTGCTTGTTAATATTTTTGTATAAAAAAAATTTACATGTCATTGAGGCATGAGTCGCTGTTAGACGGGAAATGAAGCTGCAGTCATCAGCAGATTTGACAGCATACAGGCAACTGAACAGACATGCGGCGGAACTTATGCAACTTCAATACAGCTCGTATTGAAGAAGCGATTGAGCTCCAAAGATTTTGTCAGAAATCTGTGTGCCAGAAATAGCCAACTGTCGAAGCTGAATATTGTTTCCGGGACACCAAAAATTTTGAGTGAGATCGAGAGGTTCTATTGGCAGCTGTACACGTCACCTTTGGGCCCACTTGCTAGTTAACGTTAAGTTACTATCCAAGAGCAAGTCTTATCCGACACCATTCCGATGATTTCCCAGACGTCAGTCCGAGCGAGATTAGAATGTCTCTAGCACCTTAAAAACGGAAAGTCTCCGGCGAGGATGGAATTACAGCGGAGCTTCTGAATGCGGGTGGAAAACTGGTACTTGAAGTCCTTCAGAAGCTTTTTAACTCCGTCCTTCATGGTGGCACTACTCCGGAGGCGTGGCGCAGAAGTGCGGTGGTCTTGTTCTTTAAGAAAGGTGACAACGCTCTCTTGAAGAACTACAGACCGATTTTCCTCCTGAGCGGCGTCTATGTGCTGTTTTCTATCGCACGTCTCGCACGCACTTGATGACAGCCTCCCGAACAAGCCCGTTTTCGAAAAGGCTTTAGTACCATAGCATAGACCACGTACATACCCTTCGGTGAACTGTACAGAAGATCGAAGAGTACAATCTGCCACTTTGCCTATCGTATGTGAACTATGAGAAAGCCTTTGATTCCGTCGAAGTTTTGGCGTTGCTACAGTTTATTCAGCGGTGTCTAGTTGACTGTTGGTATATCAAAGTGCTGAAGTGCTTGCACAATAGGGCTGTGGTGGTTATCCGAGTACAGAATCAGAGTACGAAATTTATACAACTTCAGAGAGGTGTAAGACAGGATGACGTTATATCCCCGACGGACGACTTTTTAAGCTACTGGGCTGGAAAGTCTACAGTATTAACATTAATGGCGAGTACATAACTCACCTTCGATTTGTCGACGATATAGTCCTTATGGCAGAATCGCTGGAGGACATAAGTACTATATTCAATGAACTACATAGTGCCTCCCAACGGATAGGTCTTAAGATGAACTATCAAAACAAAGATCATTTGTAATATCCATGTCACACCTATGCCGGTAGTTGTTGAGAGCAATCGGCTGGGCAGCGTTCGGGAAATTACGACACATCTTCTCGTCAGGTATACCTCAAAAGCTGAAAACGGGACTGTACAACCAGTGCGTGTTGCCAGAGATGACTTACGGAACTGCGGCGTCGTCCTTCGTCACTTCTGGCAATATAAGGACGCTCAAGGTCGCTCAGCGAGCTATGGAGAGGGCTATGCTCGGAATTTCTCTGCGTGATAAACTTAGAAATGAGTATATCCGCAGTAGAACCAGAGTGACCGACATAGCCCAACGGATTAGTAAGCTGAAGTGGCAATGAGCCGGCCACATATATCAAAGAACCAACAACCGATGTGATGGGGAAAAAAGTTTCTCCAGTGACAGCTTTGTACTGGTAGGTGAAGTATGGGGTAACACCCCACTAGATGGAGTAACGACCTGGTAAGATATGCAGGAAGTCAATGGATGCAGGTGGCTCAGGACCGTGCTTTGTGGCATTTCTTGTTGTAGGTCTATGTTCAGCAGTGGCTGTAATGATGATGATGATGATGAGAGATGATAAACATTTTAAAATTTTCGTTTGTCTGCCTGTCCGATTTATTCTTCGGAATGGCTGTATCGATTGTAATAAAACTTCGAGAACAAATAGAAAACAATACCTGGAGTGATCTGGGCTAAGTTTTATTTGAAATTTTAGAGCATTTATTAAAAAATAAATATTGATAAGATAAAATAAATTGTCTTCATTATTATCTTAAGTCTTAATATATCCCACCCAAGAGAAGCCACAGCGGGTCGCTAGTTATATATAGTTATATATGTTACGAGCTTGAGGTTCGTGACAATAAAAACTGCCGAATGAATTACCAAAATTTACGGTTTTATTACCAAAAACCAATTAAAACTTAAAACACTAATAATTAATCACACTGATTCACTTTATTGTAGCTTCACTTGTCTCGCCAAATTCAATACTGCCTCGCCCGCATCTTGCAGCGTCTTTAAATACACACTTTTCACCGAAACGTCCAGAATATTCACGTAAATACGCGTGTCAACCAAACAGGCGCAGAAAGTTTGAGTGTGGGGCTTCCAGAAAGCTTAATTCTTCTGTTCGATACTAGATGGCGCTGTTGATCGAAAGTCAAGATTGACATTTTCTAGGAAGCCCTCCTCGCTCTCGTACCCGACACTAGATGGCGCTAGTGCCGGGTACATGAATCCAACTTAGCCGCGCAACAGTATGTTATTTTAAGATTTATATGCCCACTTGGGTACACAACTCTTTTCAAATATTTTCTCATTAATAGAAAACTTGAAATCAACCGAATAATGTAACTTTATAACGATGTACCGTTATTATAGGGTTTTCGCCATTAGTACTGTGCATGTTAGCGGCACGGGCTCGATGAGTCGCCATTTCTAATCCCATTCTTTATCCATAACGGACTATAGGATCATACTATGACTAATAAGGTCACCATGCCCATAAAGTATGACATTGACAGGTACTGCCTGTACTACTAAGAAATTCAGGACTCCATAGGCGTGATTTTACTGACAGCTGTACGCAGAGATCAATCTATCTTTTATGAACTATAGTGCTATTGTTTCTCAATGCTACCAAATACACGGTAACTACCCTAAATGCATGGTATTTTAACCAAAACACGCTCTATGGTAATGATCTATTACCGTGTCGTTTTCCACAATATTTTAATGTAAATTGTTGTATCAATAATGATCGAATTTAAATCCAAAATTATAAAAATTAGTAAAATGAAACGCATTTTCTGATTAAGGAGACTTAATCAGCAACGCCGACCGCCATTCTTTGGTAAATCTCGAAAAATTTCATTGCTTGTCAGATCATATAACCTGCCAAAATGATCATTATTTTCTGGCAGTGGTTTTTTCTTGTGTATATATTAAAATGAGTAGTATATTAATAAATAAATGTAATGTATTGACATTCCATTCATTTATATTATTCCATTTATTCATTATTCATTCAAGTAATTACATTTCCTGAATAAGCTTTTTGCCTTTTATAGGTGCATACAATAATATTTTTAGCATAATGAGCAACGATAAAAGTGATAGTGACAGTTACGCGACTGATATTGAAACCGGACCGACATCCTCCCAAAAAAGTTCAAAGCTATATATAGTGTTTATAGCATGTCACTTTATGCATTTTAATCGCCTCTTTCTTGGTACACACAGTTAAATAACGTTTTAATTGTTCACAGATAACTTAGTTGAAGGAACAATGTGGAGAAAATACATTTCATTTTCTGTCCACATTTAAGTTGAACATTCTGTCCTTGGCCTGGCACTTCTTATTAGTTTGTGGTCTTTGCTCCACTTCAATGATGCATGTGGAAGACTGTTCAGTCAAGTAAATGATCTCTAAACGAAGATAAGAAATAAACTGACTACGACAAAAGGTAATCTATTCGCCGAAATTGAAATTGTGTTGATTTAATACAATCGAAAGCATATGTCTATCGAGGTTGTAAAATAAAAAAATGACTTCGTTTATTTATGACCAAAAATTGGAACTTTTGGAACAATAATTTATTTATAGTATTATTATTTTTTTGATTTATTTATATTTATATTTTTATTAATTTATTTATAGTATTATAAATTTAATTATAGTAAACTACCAAAAAACGTTATAAAAACGGTTTTACATTGACTCGGTAATATACACTGTAATTTAAAAATAAAAATAAAATTAAGTTTAAACACAGTCATTTTAGTCTGACGATAAGTTAGTTTGCTATTTTTTGCAAATTGCAAAATCCAAATTTTCATCTGGTAACACTGGCTGTCGTTAACTAGTATGGTGTTGGTGGTGTCGATTAGGGGTGTCCACTTTAAAAATATATCGATATTTATATTCGAAGTGAACCATCGGATCCCACCATCGATGTTTATCGATATATCGCTAGAAAACATTGATATTTATTCACTATCGAATACTTTCCACAAAAGTTTAATATGACCTTTTTTAGTGAAACGCGCAAAGTTTGTGGTCCTTTATTTTGTATGTAAAAACAAAGCAGCATATTTTGTTTGTTCATATCCAAAAAGGCAGCCTTATGGATATTTATTACGTGGCTAAGCGTTTCATTTATGGCAATATTTAATAGTTTTTTTGGAAAATTTTAAAAGGATCTTTTCGACCCCCCCGTAACGCCCACTAACACCAGGGCAAAGAAGAACCTTCCGAGTCCGGAATCGTTAGCCCCTGAAATGCGTTCCCATGGAGACGTAGAGCTCGATCAGCAAATTGATTTGCATCTCCAGGTTCTCGAAAAAGTTGCCAATCAATCCCGTAACTTTAAAGGAGAGTTTTATCGTGGCATTAATTTGGCTGTGCGAAATATCAAAGCTGCAGTAGAAGAACTTGCGCGAAGAACCGACCCAAACAAAAAAGGTCACCAGGCTAGAGAGAGAGATCGCAGAGTTGCGTTCCCAACTTGCCAGTCTTTCGGCTAAGGCCAATAATCTTGCGTCAGAAATAAATCTTCTCCGCAAGTAGATGCAGGAGCGGTCTGTTAATACCCGGGTGGCAACCTTGCCTACATAGCCAGCAACTGATGCATCCAAGGCTAGCAGCGGGAAAGAGCATCTCATAGCAGACAGAGGTGCTTGGCAAATTTTGCATTTTACAAAGTTGTCATTTCCCTCAATTTTCGTAAAAACCTTCTATACATGACTTTTCTTTGGAGGCGCCATCTTGTAATTAACTTAAAAAGAGAACAAATAAATTAATATTTATTTTTACTATAATTTTATTTTGTGTCTGTAGTGTCACATCACTATTGAGTTAATTTGCTTACAAGATTAAAAACTAAATGAAAAATACACTAAAAAAATTATTTGATGCAATACTACCCGTAACTTGTGCTTACATAAACTATCCAATAACTACTTAATTCATTATAATTAATATTAGATTTATTTATTGAGCATTTATAAGAATAAGAAAGGAAATATATTTATTATTATGAAATGAATTATAATATAAAAGATCATTGTGTTATATCATAAAAATAAAACACTGTCACAAACGAGTAGAGGTCAGGTTCATAAATATAATAGAAATATAACATTACATATTATATAGTTGACTTCGCACTGACAATCGGGCGATGTGTCAACTCAGTTACTTTAGAGTAGAGTAATTAATTGTTGTAGCAAGTAAAATTCTTACATAAACTTGTCTTAGATAAACAATTAAAATAATGATTTAATTGCGTTACCGCTAAACAGCAGAAGACGACGCAAGAATAGTGAGTACATGTAAATATAATGAATCTATAGAATCCACAGACTATATACATTGAGAGTGAATGGTCGATCGATCTGTCAGGATAGATTAGGTTATTAAGCTGGTCGCTCACAGATGTCACTATCTTAATGAACCTTATTTAAAATTGAAGTAATCAAGAAGTGTTAAAATTATTTAGTTTTGATTAAAACTACTTTTACGGATTTTATCACGTTTAATTTTTAAATAGATTGGAATAAAAAAGCATATATTCAATGTTTCTATAAATAAATATATCGATATACCGAATACAATAAATATTTGTCAAAACATCGAATCAATCCGATATATCGGTTGGAAAACATCGAATAAATTCGATATATCGATGTTAAGTGAATACTGAATATCCCTAATGTCCACAGAGTACCTTTGTATAAACTGAAACTGAAAAGTGAAAACTGCTAGTGTCAATAGTCAAAGCAGTCATACAAAGCGGTGGGTAGTAGCGGCTTTTTTGAGTAACGAAACGAAACTATCTATCGAATATCAATAGCGGCTTTTGAAAAACTCTATTTTAATAGAGGGTTTTGAAACACTCTATTATATATCTATATAGCGGCTTCAATAGATTGTTTCACGAGTGTTTAATTGAATAACGTTGCGAATGAAAGGATGTCCGTTTCACGAGAAAATTGTTTGTTACCGTTTCGTATAGAATTAGACATGCTGTTAATGGTTAAATTTATTTATTTGTTTAATCATTTCGCACGGTTTGATAAAAATATCACTTGAAAAGATTTAACGGTAAACGATTTATTTAATAATTATGATTATGATAAATTCACCCACAAGTTCAGCATAAAATATTGAATATAAGTTTGATTTTATAGCAAATAATTATTACAATACTTATTTTAAGACATCTCAAGCCTACATTTTTATGTAATAAATCAAATTAATACATGTATTGATGTTTTTATAGAATATTGGCTTTCATTGTTGTAGTATCTTTTGTAAAAAAGTCCTAAAGTACACTGGCATTACTTTGAGATATTTTTGATAACTATCACATAAAGTTTTAGTATTATTTTTTCACTTAGTTACTTATACCAATTACTGTACAATTATTATTATTAACACTAATATATACAATTGTATTTAGTTCTTATTTTACTAAAAATATTATTATTATTGCACAAAAAGAAAACAAAAATATTAACAAACGCGCCTAAAAAGTAAAAACAAACCGTGTCATTAAAATTAAACACAAAACTAATTTAAACCGGGCCAAGGCCACTTAATTTATGGAATTTGAACAATTTTTTGTTAAAAACATGCACACTTACTTTCTCATTTCTAATATCGCATCTATACGAAGGGAATAGATTCATAGGTCAAATGCAAAAGCACCCGCGCTCACTCGACATTCGACGACCGGTGGTACTTCTACCACAGCGTAAAGAGTCGGTTTCTTTACTCATGTGCTTCTACTTCAACAGCCGAAGCCGTCTCCGATGCGTCGCGAAAATAGCCGAATAAACGTTTTGTTATTGTTACTGATCGCTCGTTCGTGATTCGTGAATCGTGTTACTGAGTTAAACATCTACTGTAATAGATAGTTTCGTTGCACTGCAATAACCCGCTACCCGCTATTGTGTGAATAGATAGTTTCAGACTCCCGACAGTAATCATAATCACGCATTTACAAAAATCACTACTTGTAACATGACTCGAAACTAGTGATTCGGTTACATGCCGCGTAGCCAGTTACTGTATCTAGTGACGTGAAATAACGCCCACGTCTAGTTTCAGTAACTAGTTACGTTTTGTAACGACCGCTCCTAATACAAACTATAATCCAAATGAAATTATGAAATCTTCCAATAATAAATATTACTAAATTATCTTCATTCTCCAATCTTATCCTGTATATTCACGATCTTTGCCTTAAGTAAATGGTCTTGCTTATCATTGATCATTAATTAATATAATATGGCTGATGCAATAACAGCACGTCGTGAAGCACGAAGAAGAAGAATCTTAGAAAATTCCCACAACAGACTGCAACTCATATCAGGCAAAGCTGATGATGATATTAAGAAAGGTAACACCCCGTTGTAGTAATAATAAAATATTCGGTTTATTAATGACGTATCTTTTAATTTTATCTACGTTTTTTTTCCAGATTCTCCGTGTAGAAGTCCTATTCCAGACCAAAACGTTCACATACCCATCCTAACAGAAGTTGATACCATAAACACATGTTTTCTTGATAATGGTGTAATCAGTAGTGAATTAGAAACAATAGGATTTACAGAAAATGAAAATGTGTCTAATGACAGAGAGGTAACCAATGACTTGGCAGCTTTTGTATCATTATCACCTGAGGCAATTCCAACGCTGAACCCCTCTTTAGTTGATAAAGTTGTCACTAGTAAATATGACATAGTTTTATTATCATTAATAATTCAAATACTTTATGAATTATCAGTTATTACGTTTGATCAGGCATATTTTTTTCTTCCACTGATTTTATATATTGTGACAAAATTAATATTTTTTCCAAGACAAAGTAATTCCAGCATTGCTAATGCCCTTTTACTTTTAAATGGTATTTCTGCAGAAAAGGTGGAAATCATTGTTTATGTTATGCAATTGTTAATGCTTATTTCTCGAGATGTATGTTTGTATTTATTTACAATAATTTGTATACAATCTTTGTCTATAACATTAAAAAATAATTTTATCACATAGGATTTATTGTGGCAGAAATTTACATTAGTGGAGCATTGTACAGACTGCAGTTAATTGTTATTTTTACAGAAGGTTATAGGGGATACATAAAATACCATTGTTTTGATTGCTTGTGCCTTTAAAGTGAGAATTTGTGACAAGTGTGCGTTTTAGTCACATATTGCCATTTTAGTTTTTATAATAGTTGTATATATTTAACACAAATTTTTGTTAATAAGCAATAAGAATATAATATGCATAAGAGAACTGGTCTAGTGATAAAATATTTTTTCTACTTTAACTATAACTTGAGTCAAAATATGTTTTATATCTTCCAGTAATCTTTTGGATGCCTATTGGTGGTAATTTTTAGAGACTTAAATTTTGCGTACAAGTTTCCAAACTGTTTTTAAAATTTCAATGTTGAATTTTTCTACTTATATATTTATTTTTATGTAATTTATGTATGAATATTGATTCAGTTGATTTCTTTGACGAATAGCATTTGCATTTGTTTATATTACAAGTTATATTAGGTTGGAGAAAAAGTTTCTTCATATTTTATATACAAATTCAAGATATTTTTTCAAAGTTTAATTACATTTAAATATAATACATATGTGCCATTTTGTTTGATAACTTGTTGCCATCTTGTAGGTAGTGACATAATCCTGTTGCTGTAGAAATTTTGGGATTTTTTATTTAAAAAAATGCGACAAGTAGTTATGACAGTCCTCTCTTGATGTTAACCTAACACTTCCCAAAGAATTCTGAAAAGACCGAAACAGGTAAAAATCTGAGCATGCTAGGTCAGGACTATATGGTGGATGTATTAATACTTCCCAACCAAGCTCTCAATTTTTGCTGAGTGGCCAGAGATGTGTGTAATCTGGCAATATTATGATCAAAGACCACTCCTTTTCTGCTGTCTCAAGTCTCAGTTGTTGGCAGTAAAGATCCAAATTGTTTTTTTTCCCGGTGGTAAGAGCTCATAATAAACGATACCCTTCCAAACCCAACGTACATACAGTATCACCATATTGCATAATAATCTGTTTTGCTGTAGTCGGTGGAACCTGACTACCCCTTGACCATGATATTTTTCGCATGTTCTTGTTGTAGGTTTTTTTTATAGAATAAGTGTGACAAACGACCAGTTGACCAGATGTAACTGAAGGCTGCGGCCCGTAGACACCTACATTTATCCTTGATTAAGAATCAAAATGCAGATGGGTTGTCAACCCTGAAGACTAAGATGGAATGCCTCATTTCCATAAAAAGGGTCTCCAGATCTCTACACTCACAATACGAAACAGCAGTATTAAGCTGCTATTAAACGCTGGTATTCTGTGAGAGGGTGGTCCTTCCCTGGTTTTGTGGACCCATTTGTGCTATGACTATAATATAGCTGCAGTGTGGCTCTACCATGTATGTGTAGGTGATCCACTTTCCATCCCCACTTATCAATATTTTTAAAAATGGTTCGATTTTGTTATGTTTCAATGGAGAATCGCAAATCAGTTTTCTTTCATTGAGCTTGTGTGGGACTTTTTCAAATGGGTCAAAACAGTTTTGTGGTCAATCCTCAATTCCTCGACTATGTTGTTACTATTAATATTCGTATCTTGCTTTACTTTTTCAAAAACTGCATTGACTGTATGGGGGCGACCAAAGCTGTCTTTGACATCAAAATTCCCGGACTGAAAATGCTTGAACTAACTTTGTGCTACTCTTAATCATACTGCATTAGATTCATAAACATCACATTATTTTCGCGGCATTTTTCCCTTTTTTGTAATAAAACTTCAGAATGTATCAAATTTCTTTGTTAGATTTACTAATTTTGGCGGCAGAAACGGAAAGTGCTTTTTACTTTTTATTTTTCTTTTTCTTAATGTCCTATATTTATTGATATTAAAACTAGCAAGATACAAACAGTAATCTCTTTGGTTGTACTGTTTGTACATTATACATATTAGAAAAATCTCTCGTTCTTTTCTTCAATTTCATACAAACAAAATACAAAGAAACTTTTTCCCCAACCTGTTATTAATGACAATTATCTTTTAATTATTCCAACTTGATTACTGCTATTTACTGTCAGAAATGAGTACTGAGTAAATCATTGGTCTTTGGCTTGAAGTCAGAGTCAAATGGCCAAATTATTGCTGATTAACAATAGCATAGCTGTGAAATTATTTGAAGAGGTTAAGTCTTTCTATGTTAGAACATGCACTTGCAGCCAAACAATATATCCTGCTTAGTAAATAATTTCTAACAACATTTATAAGTGAAATTCATTTATGTTGATGGAAATGTTAGTTTTTTTTTTATTGCAAAAATGTTTGTCATTTTGCCTTGTGTATCTATTAAATTTGGTCAATGTAATATGAATGTATGACTATATAATGAAGACTAATCATTTGTAATGTTTTTACTTTTTGCAGATCGGAATAATAAAGCTATTTTAATGAAATTGTGGCTAATATAGATGTAAAGGTGATACGTCGATAATTTGGTGGTTTTCCTATATGTATTGCATAAAAGGAAAACATGATAACATGTAATTTTCGCGATAGGAAACAATTGTTACATAGGCTCTAATTGGTTACATTTCTCTATGCCACCACTATATTTTTGCGATTAGTCCATGTAGTTATTTACAAAGCATAGTAAATAATCATATCTAAGTTCACATAAATCATTTTTATCCATAAGATAGTTTTTTTTGTCGCTTACATAGTTAATTTCGGAGTCCGTGCTCGCCATCTTATAATTTACGCTGCATTTTTACATGAAGTAATTGCATCACTTTCATTTTGACACTGCCTCAATCGTCTGTGAGCTTCACCAACAATGGGATAAGCCACACCCCCAAAACTACCATTAATTTTCAAGGTATCCTCTTAAAACTACCCTTTGTTGTTTTTCATACCATACCTATTGCATTTAAATGTATTTATGTATAGACAGTACTTACATTTATTTTTGTATCTATGTTTAGTACTATTCTATTATAATTCCTGTTAATTTTTTTTGTTACTGTATCATAAATTATTAAATTTAAATTTTATCAATATTTACTATATTTTTTAATAGTGAAAAAGCTCAATAGCTAGAAAACTTACTGTACTTATTAAAAAGTACTCTGCGTAACTGAAGTCACAAATTATTACATGCATTTATAATAAAATATATGTAAGTGTATACAACTGATAGGTATTATGAAATGCAACAATATATAGGGTATGTTCTGAAATACAACACAGTACACTGTCGAATGCGAATGACGTCATAAATCGACGCCATATTGGTGATTGGTTGTATCGAATATGGTGGAATACGACGTCAATTAATGACGTCATTCGCATTCGACAGTGTACTGTGTTGTATTTCGGAACAACCCATAATATGGCGTTAAAACACTATTATTAGAAGAAAATTAGCATGTGCAATTTTGATATATTTGTACTACATCGGTAATTTCAAAAAATATATAGGCTTTTGTTGTTATGATAACTTGTTATAATTATCAATTCTGCATTTTTTTTAAATATGTACCAAAGATTTATAATCTCCATTTGCAAAGTAAAACTAATCTGCTCAGCTTGTTTGGTTGTATCTAAAACTCTTATTAGTGTATAAGTTCTTCATCACAGCAATATAAATTATTTTATTGATTTTTAACAAAAATGTAAAAATCCAAAAGATACCATACTTAAGTACCATACATGTCGGTGCTATATGCAAATAAAAATATTGTTAAAATTTATACATATTGAAAAATTCATCACATTGTACCTATACATAATTTTATTACATTTTATTCCATATGATTAATAAACAACATATAAAAAAATCCAACTTAAGCCTATACTCATTACAGTATATTTCTTAATGCTTCTTCTCTTGACAATATATTCTGAGGCTTAATTGATAATGTTGTGTCAAAAAATGCATAGTAATAAAACAAAGCAGATTTATTTTAAATTACCTATATTTTGTAAAATTTTAAAATTAAAACTGTTTTAAAAACTGTTTTGACCATTTATTTTATTTTGTCTTAGAATGAGATTGCTGAAATATACGCTCAGTTAATTTATTTACGAGGGTGGATTGAGAAATTCGCGGCCTGAATATGTAAACATAACCAGAAGATTTTAAAATTATTTTTATTTTTGACGTAATCACCACTTTTCTCAATGCACTTCTTCCATCTGGTTTCTTAAGCCATTATACCATTTTCAAAAACTGCCTCATCTTGACCCTCAAAATAGGCATTATCTACACTCTACAGCTTCAATCTATTCGTCTGATGAAAATGTCTGTCCTAAATGTTTTTTTTTTTTAGATTGGGGAAGAGGTGGAAGTCAGATGGTGTCAAATCAGGCGAATAAGCGTGGTGTGGAAGTAATTCGAACCCACAATGATACAACACTATTTTGGTTAAAATTCCTGGGCGTTTTTTCTTAATTTCGTCACGCAACCGACGTAAAAGTATGCTGTAATAAGTAGAGTTTATGATGGTTCCTTTCGGTAGGTAATCGACCATAATGAGTCGTGACCAGGAGACTTACCCCCAGTAGTCATCCCATTTATTACACGATATGTTCGGCTGAAAGGAGCCCTAGGTATCCATCTCGCAGAAACCTTCGAAAACTCCAATTCATTATGTTATGAATTATAAGTATTTTCAGTTCGTTCATACGATGTGCCTATGATTTTCAATCTACGGTCTCTGTTTTCTTCACTTATATAACGCTCAATAAAACACTTTAAACTCTTAACCAAAAGTAACACTAAATGAAACTTTACACAATGACAACTAAAGAGTTACTGAATATATTGAAGGCAGAAAGAAATAATTTTTTTAATCATGTCTATATACGAGGCCTCGAAGTTTTCAATCTACCCCCGTATATTTTATGATACATTACATAAATAGTGTACAATATTTACAACATAAATAATTTCTCAGTGTTAAATTATTTATATTATGTATTATTTACGGCGACCGCTGCGTTAAACAGGATCGGGTAGCGGGTACACGCAGCGCTGGCACCGTTGTGAGCAGGAGCGGGAGCGGTGTGTAAAGGTGCTCTATGGAGCGATCTTCGCACCCATCGCTAAACGGTAAACGCAGCGCCGCGCCGCTGGTACTACTTGACCGTGCGCGTCATAGATATATAATACAATACAACAAATACAGAGCCTTGCCGTGTAGTGGCGGTTGAGAATATCCACTACCCCATATCTTCCCGTGGGTGTCGTAAGAGGCGACAGAGGGAGACAGGCAGGAGATGGGCAGCAGCATCTTCCTAATAACAACAATAATATACAATATATACCCCTCTATCCTTAGCCAACGAGCAATGGCAGGACCCAGCAGTGCTTAGAATTTCCGACCGGGAGACCGTATGGAAGGAGAAGGAGCTCCACAGGAGGTACTACAGGGCTCTACATGAGCCCTTCGTAGATACAATCGCCTCCCTCAACTGGCTACGTTTCGGTGACCTCTTCGGGGAAACCGAGGGTTTTGTCCGTGCAATACAGATTATAAGACCAACAACTATCGGAGATACATCCTAAAGGATGGCACCGTCGACGTCTGTCGAGCTTGTCGCCATCCCGGTGAGTCGCTTAGGCATGTCATCTCCGGTTGTTCGGCGCTTTCTAACTCTGAGTACTTGCATAGGCACTACCTAGTAGCCAGAATTCTACACCAGGAGCTTGCTCTGAAATACGGTCTCGTGGGCCGGAAATTGCCGTATTACAAGTACTTGCCGGAAGCCGTGCTCGAAAATGACCCCGTTCTACCGGGACCGGGCCATCATCACAGACAGGACTATTCTTGCGAATAAGCCCGATATTGTGCTGATGGACCGGGCACAGTCAAGGATATTTTTGGTCGACATTACCATTCCGTATGACGAGAACCTCGTGAAAGCCGAAACAGATAAGCGAACAAAATATCTGGACCTGGCTCACGAGGTGACTGACATGTGGGGTGGTCTGCCGGCCGAAATTATTCCTGTAGTCATCTCTGCGAATGGGCTAATCCCAGTCAGCCTCTCGGGTCATCTGAGGCGACTGGGCCTCCGTGATGGACCGCTCCGGGCTCAAATGCAGAAGGCAGTGCTCCTCGATACCGCCCGCATCGTCCGCCGGTTTCTTTACCTTTCCTCCTAACCCTCGGCCGTCTGGTCTCCCCTGCCGAGGGCTTCCATCTGGTTGGATCTTTATTTATTTATGTATTTTTGTATTTTTTTATTGTACTGATATTTATGTATATTTACCTTTTCATTTTAATTTATAATTATATATTTATAGAACCCAACCAGAGGAGAAAACTATATATATATATATATATATATATATATATATATATATATATATATATATATATACAATAATATGTATAATAAAAAACTGCGGTTGCCAACCCGCTCGCCAAGCGTGGCAACTATGGCCAAATATCCCCCCATGAATAACGACGCAAACAAACGCCCCCAAGTCCCCGGCGGCCCCGCTATTCCTGGCTACGGTGGCGACCATGGTAGCGGCGGGGCAGGGGGTGCTAAGAGTCTCCGGTGGAGGTTCGGTTGCCACCTACGACGACTCGACCTGGCAACATATAACGCACGCACCCTGAGGACTGACGGGATAGACAAGTTGCGCTGGAGTATTATAGGATTATCCGAGGTCCGAAGAGAGGGGGAAGACACGGTAATCCTTGAGTCCGGGCACTTGTTTTATCACCGGGAGGGCGACCATCTGTCCCAAGGATCGGATCGGATATCGGATTTATCGTCCACAAGTCTCTCGTCAATAACGTTGTCAAGATTGGGAGTGTGTCGACGAGGGTCGCGTGCCTGATACTCAGAATCACCAAACGGTATTCGCTGAAGGTCATACAGGTTTACGCACCAACCTCGGCACATCCCGGTGGAGGAAATGTATGAGGATATTTCCAGAGCCATGCATTCCTTCAAAACCCACTACACGGTGTTGATGGGAGATTTCAACGCAAAACTAGGCACAAGAGAAAACGGTGAGCTGAAGTTAGGGAAATTTGGAGTAGGGCAACGGAACCGAAGGGGCCAGCAGCTGGCCAACTTTATGGAGAAAGAGGGACTCTTTATATTGAACTCTTTCTTCCATAAGCGGCCCCACAGGAAGTGGACCTGGTCGAGCCCCGACGCTTCGACAAATAATAAGATTGACTTCATTATTTTTTTATTTTTTTTTATTTTATTTAACAATTACACTTACAATACACATATATAACAATCACGAAATATTCTATACTCTCTGATATGTATATCAATTACAAGTGTACATAACATTCACAGATTGAGTCATGCAATTCAGGGTTAATTTGGAGTACTAAATATAAAAAAACAGGTTTAATTTTTAAAAGGGAATGTGGTGGATATTATACTCTCTTCAGGAGTATGTATATTTTTAATTA